AGTGACTCGTCGTCGTCATCCAGTCAACACTGCTTCCAGGCGTTCAATGCAGTGTTTCAAGGAAACAGTTGGACTCGGCTTGTCCACTCCAGTATCTCTATGTATTTAACTCGTTGAACACAAAGGCATCGAGTGTCGAAGCATGTCCCATTGACGACAAAATTCCAACACGTGAGGTTTGGTGTCGTTGTTTCCTCGATTTTTCAGCCAATCATATCGCGCAATTCGACGAAAAGATCGTTTTGCGGGCGTTTCATTGGCCCGCGACATCGTCGAGTTCCTCGTCCCATTCTCTCATTCGACAACTTTGTACGATGCCAGAAGCTCCGATGACGCGTCCTCGCCTCTCGATACCGTCGTTTTCGCTTCGTCGACGCCCGTCGCTCAGCACCAAGTACCGTCTCGGCCGCGTTCTCGGAACCGGCGGCTCGGCGATCGTTCACGAAGCCGAGCATCGCCGGTCTGGCGCCAAAGTTGCCATCAAAGTGCTCACCAATGCCGACGCCGCCGCAACCGCTGAGGCCGCGCTGCTTCAGTCGCTGGACCACCCCAACATTGTCCGATGCACTGAATGTTTTGAGGCTACCGACGGCCCTTGTGTCGTGCTCGAGCTCCTGTCCGGTGGCGACCTATTCAACCGGTTTCAGTACCAGCGGCGCTTTGCCGAAGACGACGTGCGTCATGTGGTCTATGGCGTCTTGAGCGCACTTGCCTACTGCCACGCGCGCAGCCTCGTGCACCGCGACATCAAGCTCGAAAACATCCTGTTTGACAACCACAATACCGTCAAACTCGCCGACTTCGGATTTGCCACATATGCACCCAGTGCGTTGACGCGGGCGTGCGGCACGCTCGGGTTTCTTGCGCCCGAAGTCGCCCACGCACAGCCGTATGGGACGCCAGTTGACATTTGGGCCACGGGCATTGTCATGTTTACGCTCGTGTTTGACCGCCTTCCGTTTGGCACGTCGTTCGAGACGCTGCACGGGCTCACTCATGCGTCGACGGTCCCGTACCCGCCGCAAAAGAGCGGCCGGCTCTCGGCGAATGCCCGCCGTGTCCTCGAGGCCATGCTCACAGTCGACCCGGCCAAGCGCGCGACGGCGGCCGAGCTGCTGCAGGATCCGTGGTTCCAACATGGGCCAACGCCATCGTGGCTGGCGTCACCGACAGCAGCGCCAAAGAAGCTCGGTTTTTGGGCCAAATTGCGTCCTCGCTTTATGGCCAATGCCGCCTAGATACACTGTAATTTCTACAATTATTTACGCTACCTTGCGGTGTGGTCGTCACCACTACAGTAGTCCGCCAAGACGAGCACAACCGCGCGCGTCATTGCTGGTGACCTGCACCAAGCTCGCGTGACCCACCGTCTGCGACCACCTGACGCCACCACCGTCGATAACGTCTCGCAACAGCTCGGGATACTCACTTTGACCGCGCCAAAGGCTAGGGTCTCAGGGGTGCTTCGTATTACGACTTTATACGAGCCACAGGCAAGTGCAGAAGCGCACCACGAGTCGTTGCTACGATCGGCGGGCGCGGGACGCAAAGCGTGCTCGTTGTTCATCAGCTCGGTTTTCATATACAAGACATCAAAAGCTCAGCCTTGGTTTCAATATATCAACATACGATTCAACAAGCTCAAACGTCGAGTGAAAATGTATACAATGTCTACAGTTTGCTCGGCAGCGGCCAGCGGGGGCGTCGCACGACGGGCAAAAACGACGCAAAGAAGGCCTCTTTCAGCGCCGCGTCTTCGCCCATGAGCGCCAAGAGTGGCTCCACGTGGCCGCACGGCAGCTCGACAACATCCACAGCCGTTCCCGCGTCCCGCTACACAGTATCCATGAGTCACCAAGCTCGTGATCGACAGCGTACCAAGCTCTTGGCGAGCTTGACTGTTGCGCTCAGCGGCACCACCTACACCATTCCTAGTATCAACACGGGAATAACGTTTTTGATCTAGCCCACCACATCGTCGATGCCATGATACAAGAGCATCCGCGGCGGCAACTTGAGTCCCGGCTGGACGAGCTGCGGTGTGCTGAACGAGCCAAAGTGCTTGCGCCCGTGCATCGACGGATGCAGTGGCGAGATTGCGTGGGCTAGCAGACGATATGTTGTCGATCTCTGCGTATGCGGGGAGACAGCGTACCACGGAAGGGCCCGATCGACCGGCCCGCTTCAAAGGCGTAGTGGTCGTCCATGTCGTACGGGCCGCTCAAGCCCACGTAGGTCTTGATGTGCTTGGCGGCTTCAAATTTCTATGTGCTTTTGGTGCTGTTGACATGCGGCAAAGTGTGAGAATTACCTGGGGAATGTTGGCCGCGATGCGCCGCGCCGACTGCAGGAGAAGAAGCGACGACACGTGGGCTCCTACTATACGCCTCTAGTCCTTTTGCTAAAACAAAGAACGTACCGGACGAGTGCCCCGAGAGCGTAATGTTGCCAATGTCACCGCCGTAGGACGCAATGTTGTCGACCGTCCATTGCACCTACAAGAAGCGCACATGTCGTCATCTCGCTCGGTCTCGGACGATTCTGTGTACGATCGACGAGAGGTCCTCGAGCATGTCTTCGACGTCGCCATGCGGGAAGACGCGGTAGTTGGCGACGACCGTGAGGATGCCATGCTTGGCGAGCTCCTGCCCCACCGCCGCGTAGTGGAACTTGTTGGTCATGGCCCACGCGCCGCCGTGGATGAAGATGACGACGGGCCGCGATATCGATGACGCGTCCTTGGTCGTGCCAAAGAGGTCGAGCGCGTGGCGTTCGTGCGGACCGTACTTGAAGTCGTTCGTGCGCAGCCGCAGCGACGAGGCGAGCGTCCGGCGCACGAGCCGCGGCTGGCTCACGCCAAACGCCACGTTGCCAATCTCGCCGAGCTGCACTGTGAGGATGTAGATGCACGACGACCAGAGCGCGCGGAAGTACGAGTGCTGCGGGAAGCGCCGGCGAAGCAGTGTGAACGCGCGGAAGACCAAGACGGCGTGGTTCCAGCCGTGGTAGAGGACCATCGCGACAACGAGCCTACGCCAGCGGGCATGAGAGGGTCGGTCGCATGCGCCGACGTACTTCCATGCGTTGGGCCGCCACCATTGCCTCGCGGACGTCAGCCATGCCCCGACCATGATGCTTCGCGTCGAAAAACCACCGACTCACCCACGGTCTGGTAACGAAACCAGCTGGTCGAGCCCACAGAACAGCTTACCGGTATTTTACAGAGTCTTACCACACCCAACCAGCTGTTTCAAACTCTGTTTCAACTCGTGTTGTGTTGACCATTGCTGGCGAGGACATTCAGTGTACCAGGATAGGTCCAGGCACGACGTCGTGGTATGCTCGAGGCGCTCCGAGCCTCTGACACGAACTAACGAGACATGTATCAACCTCTTTCTTTGATATGCGAAGCTTGGGCTGCTTCCAGTCATTTGCAAACACGATGTTCTGCAGCTTCTCCGCGCAAGGCGATACGAAGAACCCGTCGATGTGTTCTCATAATGGCACTTGCAGAGCTCTAAGCAGTGT